ATACCTAAACACACCTGCCCTTGTCATTTGGCACTAATGCACAAGTCTAGAAAGCAACTCATTGAAGCATTTCAACATTGCCCTTCTTTAGCCAATTAGGAGGCAACACGTGTTTTGGTAGTGTGTAGCATTGTAAGGGTATTCTGCGTAGCATTATACTTTTTCTTGTGTAGTCTTTCATGTTGCCCTAAAAACCTTATAAATAGAAGATGATGAGGAACACAGTTTTTTTTAAATCTTCTACATGTTCCCTCTCTACCCTTCCCAGCTTGCTCTAAAAGCCTTTCATTTGTGATAGGCATTAAAATCGAGTTGCGCTCAAAAGGATCATTGTGTGTTGGAGTATTTGAGCTAGTAGAGAGTTTATCTTCTTAGCATTAAAGGAGATTTCATACACATGTATATATAATATAAGAGTAGCATGTAAGGAACGTGAGACTTTTTAAATAAAAAATTCAGGAAAGGGAAAATCACAAGATTAATTGAAATGACTCTACAAGTGTGAGCAATATATTACAAATGATGCATTTCTCTATAGCACAAACATTTCTAAAGAAGTGATTCCAAGAGCTTGCCCTGCACTAGGCAAATTGGGGATTTCTCTCCAAAGTTGGTAGTTTGGCATTGGCCATGTGCATGGAGCACAATTTAATCACTCGCTCTCTTCTCGAGTGACCATTTCAGCAAACTCAACTACATGAAGGCACCTATTCATGTGACCCTCAACTCAACTTGCCTTGACCATTCGAGACAAAGCACTCAACTCTCCTCTCACGTGATCTCAGAGCTTCCATACAAGTCTCTGACCACATTAACCAACTCGCCAACCATCGGTTCCATCTCATATTAATGCTTGCCCAATGCCCAAACACACCTGCCCTTGTCATTTGGCACTAATGCACAAGTCTAGAAGCAACTCATTGAAGCATTTCAACATTGCCCTTCTTTAGCCAATTAGGAGGCAACACGTGTTTTGGTAATGTGTAGCATTGTAAGGGTATTCTGCGTAGCATTATATGTGCAAATACATTTAAAATAAGTATAACTCACATAGAAGAAGTCTAATGGCTTTCACCTTTTATATCATCGGTTACATGAAAGCTTCATGTAAGAGAGAACATAAAATATTATTTTAAAATTAGGAAGATAATATTTCTTTAATATAAATAATTATTAAAAATAATATATATATATATATATATATATTAAAATACAACAAATTTTAAATATAATTATATTTTTAAATAATTTTGAAATATTGTAATATCTTAAAAATAATAACAGATAATTTTTAAATACAATACCTTTCACTGGGCGAATTATTAGGTGCGGACACTGGATGCAAATTTTGCGTTCGGATTTCTACGATTTTGATGCGCTTTTTATGTATTTTTGCAAAAGGGAAGCTAATACATAATTTTAATTGTATATTAGCTGCCCTTTTGTTGTCATTTTACTGAGTATTTGAAAAACGCAACAAAAGGACAGCAAATACTCAAAGAGTAAGATATTTGTTGCACATTTGCTGCATTTTTACTGTATTTTTGCAAATACTTAGCAAAAAAAGCAACTAATATGCAATTAAAATTATGTATTAGCTGTCTTTTTTGCAAAAAATACATAAAAATCACACTAAAAGCGCATAAATCCGATCCGCACCCAATAATTCGCCCTTTCACAGGCACTTAAACATATATTTTTAATTGAAGAACTTTTATTTATTTTTTCTGATAAATTGAAAAGCATATAGACATACACTTCCACTTAAAATCCAAAACAAGAACATCAATCCACATAAATAAGCACAGATGGCAATAAAAGAAAAAAAATTCCAACCACAAATTCCCCCTCACGCATTTTGTCAAACACTTAAGCGACGATACCTGCCTAGCCCAATCCGGACAAATTTTGGAGGTATCGCCACCGGACATCGCGCCGGCACTTCTTGTGGCGGTGATCCCGATGTAGCTCATAGCTCACAAAAATATTGATATTTTTTTGCTCATAATATTTTTAGTTGTATTGCATTCGAAATTTTTTCTTAGCCTCACGGAGACAAATGTGCCAATGAATCGGGTTGTTTTTGCGGGTCACGGGGAGAAAATAAGGCAAGTTTGGATTTCTTTCTATTTTTACTTTAGAAAAGATTTTAAATAAATAAAATATATTTGTTAATCGTATTTTTATTTCATAGTTTTTTAAAATCAGAATTAGTTATTTACTAAATTTATGATCATAAATAGGGGTGTAAGTGAATCAAGTCGAGTAATGTGCTAGCTCAGGCTTACGGCTCATGAGTCGAGTTCGAAGAGTTAATGAGCTAAGCTTGAGCAAGCACTAACTTGACTCATGATCGGTGAATCGGCTTGTCCGAAAAATATTAATATAAAATACACCTAATATATATTATCATTCAAGATTTTAATTGATATTTTTATCATTGTTCTCCTAATTTCTTTTTTTTTTTCATTTTAATATAATATTTGTTTGAATCTTAATCCTTTTCTCTTTGTGATAACGAACGAGCAGACATATGAGGTGGTTCTATAGAATAAGGTTTCGTTTGGGACGGTTTTCTTATTGCTTCTTAAAATAATTTTTTAGTACAAAATTAAAAAAAATTTATTAAAAAGTTGCTTTAAAAAGCAATAAGAAAGCCATTCCAAACGAAGCATAAAGCTCAAGCTGGAATTAGCTAATCATATTCAAGCTCAAGCTAGAGATTACACGAGTTAGATAATAGTAAATATTTAGAATAATTAGGGTTTAATTTAAATTTAATTAATATTAAAAATGATAGACAGGTATGAAATACCTAATTAATTAAATATTATTAATTAATATTTAACTATTTAAGTGATTTTCATATTTGTTTATGCAAGCAGAAAAAAACCTAATATTTATTAGGGGTATCAATTTCAGGTCAAGGCTTGGGTTCGAATCGAACCCGAAGTTGACCTAACACTATTCGGGTCAACCTGAACCCGACCCGTTTTTGCAAACAGGTCAGTTTTTCAGAGCTGAACCTTACCCACTTTGAGTCCGAGTCAACCCGACACGACTCAAATGACCAGGGGTTGTGAAAAATTTGCTAGTTTCCGGGTAAAAAAAGGGTCAATATCCACTTTTCAAGTAAAAAACGGTTTGAAAATGGGCCAATCTCGGATTTCCAGGTCAAAAACATGTTTTTGAGTAAAAAATGGGTCAATTTTGGGTCAAATGGTCAACCTAAATTCGATCCAATTTTTTAAACTGGTTGAATTGTTGAACCTGTACCCGACCCATTTCGAGGCTTGGTTTGACCCTAACCCGAAATTTTTGGGTCAGATTCGAGTCAGATTTTTGGATCTTATCAAATATTGACACCCCTAATATTTACAGATATATTTTTAATTTTTTTTCCAAAAAAACTTTTTTTTAAATAAAATTAAATAAATTTCCAATGGGTAAAAATGTTAATTTTTTTTATAATTGTTTTCCATACCTGACGCTCTCCTCGGCTTTGAACTGGACGAGCACAAAGCGCGAGGGTATTTTCTTTAATAGATGAAAAGATCGATCGCCGTCGAGCGGGAATCCACCGTCGCCAATCTGATCTCGTTGGGATTCATTTTTTAAGAGCCGTGGAGAGATCCAGATCCAAACTGTCTTTTCCTCCTACTTCTCTTCTCTGGTCTCAAAACGGCGGCTCGGATGCCCTCTCGGTGGAGGACCCTGTCATCAAGAAGTTATTTTTGCTCCCAGTATAGATCTGGTGAGTTCGATCGTTTCGTAGTTTTTTGTGTTACCTTCTTAGTTTTAATCTGCCATCCTAGCGCCTTTGGATTCTCCTATGCTCTTGTTGGGATTATTGGAGGCAAACGTGTTATATTGGGCAATTGGAAAATATAATCCTACATCTATGTATGATTGAGCTTCTTTTGATAAGTATTGAGATCAGTAGAGTAAGATTCTAAGTTTGGAGAGTGGGCTGGAGACGAAAGGGATTGTATTGTTTAGGGTGATCCTTTGTCCCAATTCTCAATATTGGAGGAAAGTATTTAAGGATTAGATAGAAGGATGAATACCTGATTCTGTGAGCATCCCTTTGAAACATGTTACTAATACCTTATGTATCATATAACATGATTTGTTTTGCATAAGTATGTATGTGATGCAAAAACATAAATAAAGAAATTAATAAAAATATTGCCGGAGCAGGTTTTTGTTGAAACAAGTAAACAAGTAATTTCATTTCAAATTGCATATGCAAACTTTAAGTTGTTTTAAGATGTATATGTTGAAAATGAAAGTTCAGAAAGAAAGCATATGAGACATGTTGCACCGGATGGTTTGTACTAGATATTATAAACATGCCTCAAAAATCTTGTTTTTTTTTTTTTTTCAAGTCTAGTTTTGACAATCTGAACTCTCAGGGTGTGGTGTAAAGGAAAAAGGGGAAAAATTGCTCAAATCAATGACTTTGGAGACTTTCTAAGATGGGCATATAGTACAATTATGAAAGCATAACATCCTAAATGAGGAGTATATCGTTGAAATATAGGAGTTTATAATTTTCTAGCTACTTTCCTGTTGTATGGTTCTAGTTTTAAATGCTGAGTGACTTTCCGTGCTTGTACAGTAAATGCATCTTGATGGCCGTGCCTGAAAATTATTATTCAATTCGTCTGTAATTCACTGTTGTACTAAGTTTCCCATGTGCATTTCCAATTCCAGGAATGACTAACCTTTAAGATCATGGTTTGTAGTATAGGAGCTGCTATGGAATTTGTATCCTGAAGACTTCTGCAATAACTGTAAACTAAAGGAGTTTAATTGGAAGAAATGGCACCAGCAAGCAAAGCTGACAGAAAGGCAGCATTAGATGTTGCCTCTTGGATGTTCAATGTTGTAACCTCAGTTGGGATCATCATGGTTAATAAAGCCTTGATGGCCACTCATGGATATGGATTTGGTAGGTTAATTTTGCCTCTCAAAGCTTCATTTAACAAATTTATGTTGTATGAAATATTTGATTTTGAAAATCCATTTCCGCTGCAGTGGATATTCAGTACTGCTATCTCATATATTGATCTTTTCCATTGTCTTCCGTTGTCTTTTTATTTTTCTACGTGAGAATAACTTGTGAATTTGTCAATGATCTCTCTTAATTCCTACTCCTGTTCACCTTTTAATGGCTATAGATACGTTATATTTCAAACTTTTCATTTATGTTTTCATGTCATTTGGATATTCCCTGCCATGACATGATCTGTGTTAGTTTTGTTGTGGAACAAACTCAAAAGTATTGATGTGCCTCTGCTTTGTAATGTCTATGCATTATTGTCAAAGTCTTCCACATACTGACTGAAGGAATCCTCTTTAGGCAATTATTTGAAGTTCCTTTGTGTCCACAAGATGAATATTATAAGATGTTTCTGAACTCTTTTAATAACTCTTTTAATCTTGGTGGATTGTCGTCTAGGAACAATATGATTTCTAGGTGGGTTATACATTGTTTGAATTTCAGGAAGGATTCACAAAATTTAGGTAGTTTTTATATTATGCAGGAAGGCCCTTATTGATGTCAAGGATCCTTTTTTTAGGTGGTATACGCCTGAAAAGTCAAAGCATGCAAGGCATGTAGTGGCCATTGTGGTTACTTCGTATCAAGGATGTGAATTTTCAAAAATGTTTTATTGGATTTCTTATTAACAATATATATATATATATATATATATAAGCAAAGTATATAAGTTGTGAGCTCAATCCTAAGAAAAGCCTTCTTAAGTTTTCTTATGTGAAGTCTTATGCATCTCTTACATTTTCAACTTGATTTAAATTTGATGACGGGTATTTTCTTCTGATTTTAAGAGAGATTAAGATTTCGTTTGGGACAGCTTTAGACCGCTACTGTTTTCTTGCTTTCAAGAGATTTTTTACTAAAAACTAGCCTTACAAAGCAGTAGAAAGTTGTCCCAAACGAAACCTAAAACTGATCATCATTTTTATTTTTTATATGATAAATTCTTCAGCATCATATAACCTTTAATGATATTTATGCATGGATACCTATATTCCTTGTTTGCTTAGTTCTTTAGTTACTTTGTAATGCCAATTTTATGTTTTACCAGATTGCAACCTCTTAGCTGCCCCCGTCCATTGTTACCTCATTTCCTTCCTTTCAATGCCTCCCCGTTCCTTGTTTAGATGATGGCATGGTTCTTTTCGAACATTGACCTATTGAAGCATCCTGAAATTCTTTTCATTTAAACCCATAAATTTCTTGGCTTGTTTCTGCTTATAAAAATTGATAGATGTTCCATGATTCTTTTTAAAGTTATAGTGTTGCCTGATCTTTTATAATGGTCTTCAATTATAAAAACTACTTATCATTGCCAAATCTTTAATGATGTATTTCGATGATGCATTGCAGCGACGACATTAACCGGTCTACATTTTACTGCTACAACAATCATGACTGTTGTGCTCAGGTGTCTTGGATATGTTCAGCCATCCCACTTGCCTGTACCTGATCTAATAAAATTTGTCGTCTTTGCGAACCTGTCAATTGTTGGAATGAATGTTAGTCTAATGTGGAATTCTGTGGGATTTTATCAGGTTTGCCAATGATTAGTTCTGGATTTCTTTTTCTGCGTTGTAATTTGTTAGAAATCATGAACTCTCACTGGCTATTTTTCACTTTCAGATTGCGAAGCTATGTATGATCCCTGTATCATGTTTTCTAGAAGTTCTTTTTGATAAAGTTCGTTACTCCCGAGACACAAAACTTAGCATATTGGTAGTTCTTATTGGTGTTGCAGTCTGTACCATCACTGACGTGAGTGTTAATGCCAGAGGCCTTATAGCTGCCACTATAGCAGTTTGGAGCACTGCTTTACAACAATATGTAAGTTATTTATACTTAACCATTTTCTGTGCTAGGTGAGTGAGACCGTACATTGTATGATAAATGAAGGATATTATGATTCTTTTCTAAAAATGCCCATTTTATGCTTTTGCTCAAAGCTCTACTTATTCTCATGGTTAAAAGTAATAAAGCCAATAATCTCAAGGTGAGTTTTTCATATATTTCGAGAAAAAGTGAGGTTTCTTTGCTTTCTATGTTTGTTTTGGCTGGTTTGTGGATGGGGTGAATGTTTTCAGTTCCACTATAAATGGTTGCCAGATAAAATACAGTCCATTTAATTAGGTCTGTCGTCTCACGTCCATTGATTGTTTTCAGAGTTTGCAAAAGCACTTAACATGTATTTGACCATTTCTCTGCTTGACTCGTAATGCATGCTGAGGTTAATGTTTTCCTTTCTCAGGCTTCGTTTGGGACGGTTTTCTTATTGCTTCTTAAAGCAGCTTTTGAGTAAAAAATTTTAACTTTTGTACTAAAAAGCTGTTATAAGAAGCAATAAGAAAGTCCTCCCAAACAAAATCTCAATGTGGTAATCAAACAGAGTTCTGTGTTCTACTAGAGGGGCTATCCCGTCACCAATAGCTTCAGGGATATTTACATGATTTATTGTATGATCCATCAAGTCATTTGAGCTACCGAAGCATATGATGATTAACTGTTTGAGATTAAATTTGCAAATTTTGCTTATAAGGGCTGTTTGTTCTTCTATTTCCTGAATAATTTAATATATTTCTACAAGCCTTGACTTTATTAAATTAAACATAAAGTGCTACTTAGGCACACCATTCCTTTAAAGAGAGACCATTTATGATTTGTAATCTTTGTTTCTTTAGTATGTACATTTTCTTCAACGGAAGTACTCTCTTGGATCATTCAACCTCTTGGGCCATACTGCTCCCGTGCAAGCAGCGTCTCTGTTGCTTCTTGGTCCCTTTGTGGATTATTGGTTGACCAGGCAAAGGGTGGATACTTTCAACTACAATATAATTGCAGTGGTTAGACTAAAACAAATCATTAGCTGGAATTCCTATGTTACTTCTTCTACCAGTACTGAAAACTCTTCCTAATTTTCCTGCAGTTCTTTATCATTTTGTCATGCATCATCGCCATTGGTACCAATCTAAGTCAGTTCATCTGCATCGGTCGATTCACCGCTGTCTCCTTCCAAGTTCTAGGCCATATGAAGACCATCCTTGTCTTGGTTTTGGGATTCTTCTTATTCGGAAGAGAAGGTCTCAATCTCCATGTAGTTCTTGGCATGTTATTAGCCGTTGCAGGAATGATTTGGTATGGGAATGCCTCATCCAAGCCAGGGGGTAAAGAACGGCGTAGTTTTTCCATGCCAAGTGGTAAATCTCAGAAGGATGGCCTTTTGACAGAATCTGGACAGCTCGATGAAAAGGTCTAAGGCTTCGTTTGGGACGGCTTTCCTACTGCTTTTTAAAGCCGTTTTTTGTACTAAAAAGTTGTTTTAAGAAGCAGTAAGAAAGCCATCCCAATAAAGCCTAAATTATATTCCCATGCAGATAGTAGGCATCTTATCTTTCTTGCAGGAACTTATAGTGTTTCGCTGAGATCATTTATAGGAAAAATCTGACAGTCTTTGATGAGGGCTGGCGTTATTGTTTCCATCTTTGTATTTTCTACTCTTTTTTGTTTTGTATTTTTTTCTGGGGAAGGCCGTTATTGGTTTTCAAGATTCCCCATCCCAAATACTACGTTCCATTGTTGCTTATAGTAATTTATTTCCTCCTAATAAGTTGTTCTGCAGAGGAAGCTGTTTCATTCAAATTGACATTAATGGTTTTTGTCAAGTTATGAACATCAAGACTAACGAAATTTTGTTTAAATTTACATTTATTCATTTAAAAATATTTTTTTTTTCTTAATTGCTGAGCTATGTTGCAATGATTTTGTATGTTTGAAGTGGTGATCTAATGGCCAAGGTTGTAACTGAGCTAATTATGCTTGGGCTATGGTTTAGTTTGATTCTTTATAGTTAATTTGAATGGGTGCCAAGTATGTTTATGTTATAGAAATTATAGTTTTTTATATACCCACGCTATTTTGTATGGATGTGAGTGCCTTGCAACCTTCAATTTCATATTTTTTAATTGTGGACTTAGGTTTCGTTTGGAATGACTTTCTTACTGTTTTTTAAAATAGCTTTATAAAAAGTTGCTTTAAAAAGTAATAAAAAAACCGTCCCAAATGAGGCCTTAGTAACAATCTTGTGTGTGGTATTGATGCATCACATAACATTTAGTTCTCTAATGAAACAAACTAAAAATCACTAATCTTCTATTGGGATTCATGAACATGTCCTTCATCATTTGCCATGTCCTCTTCTTCAACATTGAATGCAAACTCTTACTTGGACATGCATTTGCACATTTAAAAGAAGCCTTGCTAGAAGTTGTAGAGCTAGATGCAATAGTTACAGATTTATTCATATGTTATGTTACAATCTTCATTCTTTTTTAGTTAGTTAAATTCATCATGTTGTCTATCACAGTGAGGTATGGTATTGAAAGCTAATCAACATCCAATGGCATATAAAGAGTGAATAAACAATGATTTTATTCAACTATTCAATATATCTTTTAGATGTGTGAAGAGTCCTATTTTTTTGCATTAGGAATGTGCTTTCTATAGTCACTTTAAAAATTTATGATTTAATAAAATTGTTATAGAAAAAGTAGATTTTTGAAAGTTTTTGTAGAAATTACTTTCTACTACTTTTTTATTTTTAAAATAGTGAAAAAATAATTATCAAGCATAAATTATAATTTCGGTAGGTAAAGCAAATTAATAAAAAATTGTCTTAAATAAAATCCATCAATTAATATAAAGTTTATACAATCTCAATACAAATTATTGCAATATACAATGCAAATATACATGGAAAGATGTAACTCTATTTATAAACTTTCATCTTTATTTGTGACAAATATTGAGCTTTCAAGTTACCATTTCTCTTCTGGCAACTACAAAAAGCTAGTCATTTAAGTTTCGTTTGGGATAACTTTCGTTATGCTTCCTAAGATAGCTTTCAAGTATAAAATTTTCAAATTCAATAAATTTTTTATTAGAAAATTATTTTAAAAAGCAACAAAAAAGCTGTCCCAAACGAAACTTAACTGGCTAACGTAGGTTAACAGTGACCCGTTAATGATATATAACAACTTGCAAATAAAGCAATTTGCTTTAACTCATTAGGATTGGTGTTGACCTGCTAATTGGGTGAGAAATCCAATAATGCTAAATTATTTATATAGCAAATTAAATAAGAATCTATTTATAAGATATATTTAAAATATTATATAAAAAGCTTATATATATTTATTTGAATATTTATTGAACTTAAAATAATTTTATTATATTTCAACTATAGTGTTCACCATGTTGGAGATATTTAGGGTAAATCACATGTCTAATCACACAATAAAGAACTAAGCATGCAAACTAAGCTTTTTTTTTTGGAATTTTTAGTTGGCCTTATTGAAGCATCTTGATTCACCATCGGAAGCTCATTTTTAAGCTGCATAGGCTCCGAAATTGTCATCATTAGTTTAACTAATATATGGAGAACTTGTTGAACACTTAAGGCCATCTCCAACCCAATGCGAGACAAGCTTTTGTCATCTGCCGCGAGCTCCAATTGAACGTGAGATTTAGCGGTATTTTGACAAGGTGAATAGTGCGACATCAACATTGACATCACATTGTTCACAAACGTTTTTTTTTTCTTTAAAGAAATTGGAAAATTAGGGTAATATATAAAGAATATCTTTTTTTGTTTTACCAAATGGAGTTTGGTTGGATATTAGTTATTATATTTTGGAGTGGAAAATGAGTTTTTTCGTTGGAGAAGCCCACACTAGTGTTTACAGTCGTTACGAGCTCCAACCGAACGCCAAATTCAACCCCATTTTGCTCGAGGTGAACAGTGCGATTGGCGTACGTCGCACTGTTCACTAACACCATTTTTTCGTCATTTCTTTCGGTTGGAAAAAGAATATATCGAGTATATTCTTTTTTATGTTAAAAATGGAGTTCGGTTGAAAATGAATTACTGCATTTTAGAGTATTGCTATATTTTGGAGTGTAAAATGAGGTTTTAGATGAAGATGATTTTGCCTATTTGCACCATTTTTTTATTTTTATTTTATGTTTTTTTTTATAAATCTATTTGATTAGTGCTATGTAATTATTTTATTTTTAATTTGTGAACATAAATAAATTCATTTTAAAAAATAGCAGAAAAAACTTTTAAGTCTTTTCATTATTCTCAAACACCCAATCTCATGCACCACATTGGTCATTGTTGTCATTGAATGTTGTGTGGAATTTGATTGTGTTGATCAATCTGATTGTTTTGTTGTCTTGGACCTCAAAGCTTATCGTGTTTGCTGGGGGGGATTACCTGAGCACCCTGGTGCTATGTTCTCGAATGCCCCAGCGCTGAATGATAGAGAGCAGAGTGTCGCAACGGTGCAAAATAGAGGCCTGAGAGCCACAATGTCCCAAACTGGCGCAACAGCCCTGCAAGACGGACTGAAAGGTTATTTTACTTAATTTTTTTCTTGTATTTTGATAGTGTAGACATTGAGAACGATGCATATAAGAAGATAAGCAAGGAGAGAGTGAGAGAGAAGCGAGATATGTACTTAGTGAATTTTTTGGCGTGGTTTGGTGGTTCCGTGGTTTTTTCCTATTTTGAATTTTTCTATGTTAAATCTTGCGTGTCCTTATTTTTCAGTTGTTTTTTTACTTTCTTATTTATTTCATTGTTGTGGTATTTACTCCTCATCATTCTCAACACTGATCACCACTACTATCTCGTTGATGTCGGTTATTGTCGCCGATAGCATATTAATTAATCAACTTTTTAAAATGTAATGAAATTGGGTAGGCTTGAATCAAGTTTTCGTTAAGCTATCATAGCATCAGAACAAACATCACTGTAAAAATAATTAATTTTGATTCTAGAAACTATAGAGGAATTTTTTATATTAATTTTTATCGGAGAGTTATAATAATATTTTATATGGGCATAAATAAGTTTGTAAATCATTTTGTGTTAGCCAAAATTAAGTTAAAATACAAATAAAATTAATTTAATTTTTTTTATTCATTCAAAATTTCACTCGTTTCTTTTAGTTAACTAGATTTTTAAATTTTCTTGAAGATTTTTAAAAGGCTTGATATATTTATTTATACTCTACTCAACCTATAAAAGTAGTGAATCATTATATTGTCTCTTGCACCAATGTGAAGTAAAAATATTAAAGGAGGAGAAAAAAAAAAAAAAAAAAAAAAAAAAAAAAAAAACAATCAAAATACTGAGACTTAAGTTTAGAGAAAACTAAGAGATTTGAAAAATTCAAGGGCTTTATTAAATCTACGATGGCAACAATCACCACTAGCTACTACTATCAACATATTGACGTTGTTGAATTCCTAATACATGATTGTAATTATTTGACCGCCATCATCTGACCATCATCATCTGGCTCCTGCCATATATCCACCGCTATTTGGCCGGCATAGTCTATTCAAATTAACTGAATATTTTCATCTGACTATTATCACCTAATTGAAATCATCCAATTACTATGATTATAACACTATCACTACAAATTGTAATACAACTACAAGAGACTAAACAACTGCTCCCAACATTGTAATCTCTTCTTCTCCAATTTTATATTAAAAGGCTAGGCTCCATGATTATTTTTTTTCATGAGTTTTCCACTAAAAACTATAGCATCTCTTGCATTCTTCTTGATACGTCGTCACAGAATTAGCTTGATTGGGCACGAATCTTGAGGCAAAAGCTAGTTGGAAACTTCGAAAATTAAATTTGGGAGCAAATGAACTCCGATTTCAGCGAGCTTACTGTCGAACTGAGCGACTCGGAAATACGAACCCAACGACACCAAGATCAACCCAATCCGAGCCCAAATGAGTCCGAATCAAGGGTTCAAAGCGCTGTCGGAAGGTTCAAACCGCAATTTGAGTTACCAAACGATCTCCGATTTTGACGAGCTTATACTTGAATCGAACGGCTCGACGATACGAATCCAACGAGCCCAAGATCACTAAATTCCGACATCATTAAAACCTCCAAATGGCCAACGAACGGTGCACGGTCATAGGATTCAATATCGGCCGTCCATTTGACCACTCTCTATTCGCCCCTGATCTCACTCCTATTTACGGGCCATGCCACTCCAGAAAATTTATAAATAGAGCCCTCATTCTTCACAAGAGAGGGGCCAAGCAAGAGAAGCAAGAAGAGAAGGAGGAAGAGAAGGAGGAAGCTCCTCCTCGACGGCCGCCGGACTACCGCCGAACCACCGCAGAAGTCCCGCCGGACCACCACAGGAACCTCGCCGGACCACCGCAGGAACCTCGCCGGACCACCACCGAAGCCTCGCCGGATTTTCATTGCACCACTGCCTTAAGGTCCAACGTTCAATCCCTACGTCCTGTTGAAGACCCGACGTCCTGCTTAAGGCCCGACGTTCAGACCCGACGTCCTACCCAAGGACAGACCATCAACACCCGATCTTCCAAGTGACACTGGGGTCTAAAACACCTGACTCCTTGTCTCCTACCCGCCTACGGTACCTTTCGACCGTCCGTCGCTACTACGGTCCGTATCGACTCCACAACAGACAACGGTCTTTCTGACCCTGTCTCTGCCGACTACGGTCCTTCTGACTGAACAAAACATGTATATGTTAACTCCTAACAATGTAATTTGCAATCTATATGATGTATAGTTGCACATTCAATACAAGGCCTTCCCAAAGGAAGGGCCTCATTTGTAATCGACTGCAAAAT